GGCATCTTATTTCCACTCTTTATTCAAAAGATGAGATTGTTTTTTAGTCCAGTTCCTCCTTCAAAATTCTTTAAACTGACATAGCATTAAATCCAAGGGTTGGCCCCATTACTTGATTATCGATTCCATTAAATACCGCCTTCACAGCACCCGCTAGCAGTCGGGATGATCATGTGGTGGCTGTGCGGAAGCTGTTGATGAAAATGGTGGAATTTTCTGGAAGAGCTGAAGGCAACTCTTGGAATCGATAAATGTATTTCAAAAGTACTGAAGAAAATGCTGGACGTCATACAAAAAATCTGCGATATGGGCACCTCATCTTTCGTGTGATGAGCGGAACGACGTTCACAAAATAAATGTCGAACTGGGTTTAATTTCTTTCTCTTGCGCCAGAGAATGGTTTTCTTCTGTCTTGAGCTCAGTCACATTCCATTTCAATTTCTATCCCCAGAACTTTCGTTCGACCCCTCGCATATATATTGTATGTACCTCCATCCTGGCTTGACACATAACGATGAAGCAAAGAACCTCATTTGCCTCATTTCCGCTCTCCCGGTGGGATAATCAGGCAAAGTTATGACCCATGCATTTACGGGGTTCAGCTATACACAGGCGCCGAAATACTGCAGTGGATGACCATCAGTATAGCAGGCAGCAGTGGGTAACCACGGAGTTCCAGATGCTGTGCCCGTCGAACCGTGACGCAGCTCAACCAAGGAACGCCGGGCGTTGAACAAATAGCAGCCGCAGATGGCAGACGACTTACATTCCACACTGGATTATATTCGCGAATTTGTTCGATCAGGGCATGAGTATATAAGAAATAAGTCCCGTGGCGCGGAACGCTTCTCAGCTTTCCAGTTGCTAATGTGCGCCACGATCCGAAATAAGTCGTCCAAAAAATACAAGAATATACTGCACGCTCATTTACCCGAAGGATGTCTCAAGTTCGGCGAACGGGGTTTTTTCCCTGTGCACCTGATTCCCAGCTGGACCCAACGAAAGGAGTCACATGAAAAAGTACACATGCCCGACGACCGTGGAAAATTGTGAAGGAATAATAAGGATAGACAACTCAAGAACCTGTGTACAATATATTTATACTCAACTGGAATACCAAATTTTGCCAATTATATTGATAAATTAAGTAAGAGAAGAAATAGAACTGACCAGCAGAGAGGGAATATTCAAGCAGATATGAAAGGTCAATGCCAGAATTTTCGTCTGATGCTGACATATTTTTCTTCATTCGAAGTCAGTTTTCATTTTTTAAATTAATATTAAATGTTTTTTGCCCGTCAAATGTTTAAGTAAGAAAGTGGAAGCATCCTGAGACTACTACTCAGAGTTCTTAAGAGGTATCTATAGGTCTAGTTTCAACAGCCTTGTCGTAAACTTGTTTGTTCGACTTACTCTTGCAACAGCTGAGTCCATAACTTATCCAATACTTGGAAAATCATCGTCCAACGGTGCTGGCTGAATTTGAACGGAAAATCAGATACCAGCTTCAGGTAATATTGCTTTTATAAGACTGAATTGATCATCTTTTTTTGGATATTTGCTAGATAATCATGATGAGCCAGCAGACGAATATTTCTGCAGAGATTTTCTAAATTCAGGTCTCTTTCAAAAATAGGCTGAATTTGTTACCACTGTCCACCGAATTAAGCAATCTATTGAATAATTAGGACTATTCCCATTTTCCTGTTCATTAGAAAATATTGTGATGCCCTACTACTGCTCAATATCGCTAAAACGAGAAACGAAGGTACGAAATGCATGAACATTTCGTCCAAATTGGGGTCTTCGCTAAAGTTCTATTAAGTAGTCGTCGTTAACTACATACCGTCCACCTAGGGACTTCATGTCGTTAGCGGCATGCAATGCCGCATACCCGATGAAAATGGAGCATTTAACTAAATGGCGGCACTGCTGAATCTCCGTGTTCTGACGCGGTGAACCCTAATACTGTTATGATGTTTTCTTTTTTAAAGATAGAAACCACTGTCCTTTCATAATTCATCCTAGAGAACACCGCAGAAATTGGAGACGCTGCAGTTTCTGAATTGGCTCGAGTAGACTTTTGGTTCGAAATCGGAACACCATTAAAAACGATTTGTGAGCCTAAAACAAAAAGGATAAAACGTGTACTGCATCAGTGATCAATTAATGGTATTCGAGATTCGGCAGATCTATTAAAAATGATGACGTGATTACAAACATGAACAGTTGGAGATTTCCTGCGCGTGAAATTCTGCTGATTTTGAAAAAACCGACCGCCGATCGATTCGCCAAATTCTGGGGCGACCGAGATTTGCGAATGGCGTCCATTATCGGTCATTATTTATTTTCTGCCCCCAATTTCTTTTTCGAGCTCGCAGCTTGTCTCCCACAACCCATTACTGTCAGCACATCAAGCGAATTAACATTTTGAGACTCTCAAGTACTTCATCAAAGGCTGCATTTTCGAAAACTTCGGACAGAAGGATGAATTGGGGCAATAGGTTCTCTTTTTAACATTTGAAATCGCAGAAATGAAAACCCCAGAAGCGATTTCAAGATAATTCATCAGCAGCAATTGATGTATGGCAGGTGGATCCCTGAAGTACAGCAATCGCCGTACGTTACGGCGTATGGGCTACTTTTACCTCGTAAATTGATTTACCGCACACTGCTGAATCTCCGTGTTCTGGCGCGGTGAACCCTAATACTGTTATGATGTTTGGTTTCTTTCTTAAAAGAAAGAAACCACCGTCCTTTCATAATTCATCCTAGAGTACACCGCAGAAAGTGGAGACGCTGCAGTTTATGAATTGGCTCGAGTAGATTTTTCTTTCGAAATCGGAACACCATTAAAAACGATTTGTGAGCCTAAAAAAAAAAGGATAAAACGCGTACTGCATCAGTGATCAATTAATGGTATTCGAGATTCGGCAGATCTATTAAAAAATGATGACGTGATTTCAAACATGAACACTTGGAGCTTTCCAGCGCGTGAAATTCTGCTGATTTTGAAAAAACCGACAGCCGATCGATTCGCCAAATTCTGGGGCGACCGAGATTGAGAATGGCGTCCATTATCGGTCATTATTTATTTTCTGCCCCCAATTTCTTTTTCGAGCTCGCAGCTTGTCTCCCACAACCCATTACTGTCAGCACGAGTTCGCTTAATTGTAAAACTCTGAGAGTTCATGAAGTAGTTTCCGACGTAAAAGCTTTTGAAGCCTGTCTTCCTACTTAACCCCGTTATCCAAGAGAAAAATTGTAAACTTTAGCGTCTTTACTTTTAGGTGCACATATTTTTAAGATCTGGAAAGCCTGCGGACAAAAGTTTCGAAAATAAGTATAAGTACTTTTTACGCAGACACGCATGCAATCGATTTCTGTACTCTGGGGGCAACAAGTTTAGTAGATGTTTTTATGTTTTTTTCGTACGTAAAACAAAAGGGAAAAAGAGCTTTCCGGATTTGTGTCAATCCTAGGCTGTATACAATATCCTGCTTCCTGGACGCAAAACATTTCTTTCCTCAGGCTGCGATAAGAAGCAACATACTACAGTACAAGTCGTTAAATTCAGGTTTCCGAATTGAAATGGGTTTCAAGAGTTCTACATTTTTTTCCTGCTTGAAAGCTTAGCACGAAGCTTGTATTCTGAGCTTTTTTATATTTTGTGCATTATGAATGCGGTTACGTCGAAATTTGCAAAAATTTCCATCCCGAAAATCGTTTTTTCTCGATGCGATTCTTCGGCGCTTTTTTTTTCATTGGAATTAACTTTCGCAGTCCCACTGTAAGTCTTGAAAATTATTTTCTGAAGAATGCGTGACTTTCTACCTCGTTCTTCACCTAAAATTCAGGAAAAATTTTTCTCGCCCATTTCTTTACGCAAATTAGTTCGACAAGTTTGAATTGTATGCATGGTTTTCCTTCTCTGACGCAGAGTTGGAAAATCCATGCCCACGTCGAGGACGTTGTGAGTTTTTTTAGACCTGAAGATGACAAACTTACGATCCCACGATGGTGATGGCTTTGTTGACAGAGTCCGGCGCCAAATGCGCCCTCCGATTGCTGTTGCTGACCGAAGACGAATCGGAGGGCTGTGGATAAGCAGCATTTCCCTGCTGCTGCTGTTGCTGCTGATTCCTTCCACGCAACAATTCCAGAGCATTGATGATGCCGTCTATGAGCTGGTTTCGATTGAAGAACCAACGCTGCTGTGCCGCCACCGACGAAGACGAGGCGCCTCCGATGCTTCGAAACGGATCCTGCTGCTGCTGATGGCGGTCCAAGAGAAGGTGTTGCCTCACCGGGGCCGGAGGGTACGCGAGGTAGAGTTGTTTGCTGTGCCGCTGGGACATGGGTTGTTCTTCCGCTTCCGGCTCGCCCACGCCACTCGCTTCCGGCCCACCTACGGCTTCTTCCACGAATGCCGCCTCTTCGGACTCGGCCGGCTTCTGAAACTCCTATAAATATATCCGAATTTGATGAGAAAATTCTTTCCCTCTTTTATAATGTCCTTCCAGCCTATCCCCCCTCCGAATTATTTACAGTATGGAGCTGGGTTGATGATTGCAATCCAATTTTTAATTGTACAATCACAATCATTATTTGTTTGAAAACTTTTAGCACAATCAAAATCAAAATCACTGCTACACATTGAAATTATTATAAAATCGCGATCACTACGAAATTCTAATTTTTCTGCACAACCACAATTGGAAGTGTTATCGCAATCTTACAAATTCATCTTCAAGAATTTAAACTCAATTTTACTCATAGTTTTACAATGCTATTGCAGCACTTTTAACATGAAAATCGGATGGAATTTTTGTAGTTTAAACCTATAAAAAATTGTGAAAAATGCATCCCCAGAGTAGAAGAGAAAAAATTGTAAATTTCCAATATGCCACCAAATGTTTTTTAACAAGTGAATACCTCTAGGAAACACATCTAATGAAAAGTTAACTGTCCCTTCATTATTCACCAAGATTATGATTCTGCAATAATCACACAAATTCCTTCAAGTGAAGTCAACCCTCATTAGGATTGGAATCCAAGGACTCAAGGCTGGGAAAGAAGACCACTTCCATCACCCTTTCTTCCCCAGCCTTGGATCTGAGGCCTTGGATCATGATCTTCGGATTCCAGACCTAATGGGGGATTAAACCTACTTGAAACTTTCTATTCATCCTTGCTGTGTATGGGATTCTCATGGGAAAAGTAGAAACCCAAGTATAAAAGGGCTAATATTTTCTTGCTATAGATCATTCCACTGAACAGCTCTCTGGGGCTGGGACATGCTCTAGGTTTCAGGGCTGTGTTTCATACCACAGCCTGGACCCTGGAAGCTATCCAACCCAGCTGAGCTGTAGCCCTCTCATGTATGTTTTTTATTTGTGAACCATATTATAATTCTAATTAGTGTATTGGCTCATATAACTGATTGGTGTTTAAGTGTATTGTTGATCATCTGTCATTCTAATTTAGCTATATTATTTCCCAAAACCTGTTTCCAGGAATATCTAAAATATAATTCTTGTTATTATTAATGAATTAATTCAATGTATTATTAACGAGGGAAAATACCCTCTTGTAGAAATTCAGAACTTTGACAAGATCGAATCTTTCAGAACTGAATGAGGTAATGAAATGAATTAGCAGAATTTCAGTGCAAACTTAGATTAAATTTGCAATGCATGTCATTTTATTCCATAGCTTAAAATTTGAGGTACGAGATCAGTCCAAGTTGCACGCAACCTCGGATATTTATTGAGCTGGTGTGTTTGTCAAAATAATGCTTAATTATAGAGTCCATGATTTTCTCAGGTTCCCGTGTTTTTTCTAATTTTTTTAATGCATTCTTGAATTTGTTGCAAGATGATAAATGAAAAATTTCCCACTAAAGCCGGAGTTCTCCAACCATGTTGAAGTGTTCTAAAAATTTGGTGAGCCAAATTAATTCAAAATTTTGTTGCCTTACCGTTTATATTTTCTACATCTCCGACAATAGGCAAAAAGACAACTTTTAATATCATCCCCCCGTCATCACACGTTCTGTTCAGGAATGTCTGCGATTGTGAAGGATTTTGTATGGAGTAAAGTACAGTATTCTTCCAAGAAAACAAGGCCGTCTTGTGCAAATTTTGGAAAGATTAACTGAAGATTCCCTATAATTGCCCTTTTGTCTTGAAGACTCACACACACACATTCATCACTTATAACAAATATAATGCATATTAATTCCATGGCGAAAGAATTACGGAATTTGATTTTTCACTTCATGCAATAAGACGGAAAAAAATTGAAAATAAATTTCATACTTTTGAATTTAGCCGCATTCATGTGACCCCTTCAAGCCCTTTATTATCAAGGTTAATCCGCAGGAGAAGCTTTTGAATGAATACTGACTTCTTCGAATATTAACTGCATAAATTAGAGGGTTGTCCCAGTTGGACGCGACCTCAGATTTTTCTAGAGTCGTTGCGATTAAAAAAAGAAAGCATGACATAGCATAGCCCACGATTAAATATTCCAAGATTTCATTTTATATATTTTAATAAAGAATTTTTTCAATTGACCTCATAATGATCAGTGAAAACTGCAGTTACAGCCCGAGTTCTGGCCCCACCCATGGGGCCAGGTCACGGGGAAATGAAACCAAAAGTTTTTGTTTTACCTATTGTCGGAAATGTAGAAAATATACTTGGTTGAGACAACAAAGCTTGGAATATTTTAGCTGGCCCGCCAACTTTCAAGCACACTGTGACATGGGTGGAGAACTCCGGCTTTGATAGGAAATTTTTATCTTATCATCTTGCAACAAATTCAAAAATGCATAGAAAAAATTAGAAAAAACACGGGAATCTCAGAAGATCATGAACTATAATTAAGCATTGATTTGACAAACACACCTGCTCTAAAAAGATCCCAGGTTGCGTGCAACTCGGACAGCTCTCGTACCTCAAATTTTAAGCTTTGGAATACGGTACCGGTGATATGAAATGCATTGGAAATGTAATCTAAGTTTGCATTGAAATTCAGCTAATTCATTTGATTATCCCATCCAGTTCGTCAACACAAATATCCTGGGAAAAAGACCCTCCTTCCCGAAAAAATAGGTTCTCTACTGGAACCCAAAAGCTCTCCGACAGAATAATAACGTGAAACCATTTTTTGATAGCTCACTCAAAGTTGTCATCAGTACATTTTAATTACCTAATTAGTGTATTCTGCGAACACTGCGTGTGTCTCATAGACGGAAGTAAGAATGCACACCACTAGCCGGACCGGTATTCTTTAGATGGAAGCCGGAGTCGGCATTGAGTTTTCGGACTCGTGGTGCGAAATCCAATTAAGAACAGTGACTCGTGAAATACAAGAGCAAATTACAAGACCATCTCAGAAGCTCGACAAATTAATTTTATGGGTTCGGGAAAAAGACGACAATTGGGGCGGTGATTTACAAAAGCAGGAGTATGAATGATAATTTTCAGAATTGTCAGCCATCAGACGAACGCTTTGGAAGAAGGAAAATCAGGTTTCCAAATGCGAAGTTCACGGAAGATCGGTTTTTTCCCAGCAGCAGCGTATTCCTCGTTCCTTTTTTTTAAATGCTTTCGGGAAGGTTTGTTATATTTCCCACAGAGCCCGCGTCACGATTCCGAGATGAAAAATGGAAAGAAAAAGTTGCGGCGAGGCAGCTATGGATAAGAGGCAGAGGGAAACTTTTCACTTGACCTACTAAAGTCATACAATGGAAGCGTCACTTGAAATACCGACTAATTGGACTGAATCGCATCCACTCACCATCGGATACGCCGACGAGACTCCGACAATCACCCCGAGCACACACAGCGTCAATTTCAACCTCATGTCTGCTGCCTGTTGGCCTTGTATACGGTACATACACAGACTAGGGAATCCGCATTCGACTGATTAAGGTTGCCTGCTGGAAAAGTAAGACCATCAAAGGACGTGGGGGGCTAGAGATTAATCACTGGGTCCCGAGGCGCCGCTTCGAGACTCTCGCGGCGCCGACGAGAGAAAGACAGACATAATAAGAGAAGAACCATACGTAAAACAAAAAGGCCGAGACTCGCAGGAAATTATCAATCGGTTCCGGAAATCACAACCATTAAGAGACTTGAGTAGACTCAAGAGACACCATGAACAAAACAACACACGACCGGGAAAATTTCGCGCTTCACGCACAACAAGGGGCGGATGTTATTTCTTTTTAATATTTTTTCTTGTGCTGCCCGGAACTTCCTTTCCTTGGAGATGCGGAGGATAAAATATTGTTCATCTGGTTCAAACTTGCTTCGATTCCCTTTCCTTCGCATCTCGTCTGCAATAAGGCGGTGGTAAGCGATTTCATCTTTTCACTCATTGACCGCAGCGCATCTGTTCCCACCGCAATTAAATTTTTTCGGACCCACTTCGGGAATCCAGGCTGCACATGGCTTCTCCCCCTCCCCCGTTGATGCAATTTGACATTCAATAGTCGATGCGAAATGTTGCCCCAGCCGTCGGTTGAATCTTACCCACGTCGGACACACACAATCATGTGAGAATCTTGGATGTTAGCCTGCACATTGACCAGCTTGAGCTTGCTGACAATACAATTATACACCTAACACTTCTTCCGTTTAATATAATTACAGGGTGATCATTGCTTGGGCAATAATCAAGTTCTAAATCACGGGTAATTGAAGTTTCATGCGGAAAAAATTGTGGGATTTTTCGATTGACAAATGTTACATTACTGCGAGCCTGTCTCGGTGAGGGAATACAGTTGGACTCACTCTACATTTACAACATGCTTGTTTACAATGACTTTCTCTGTTGAATAAGAAAATTTTCATGGGTCCCGAACTGTTCATTCTTTATGTTTCAAAAGTTGTGTACAGTTTGAATATTTATCTCTGCTACCTGAATCTCACTGCAATGGTCTAAACTTACCTATTTCTACAGCATCAAGTAAAGGGACTCACATAGAATGATCATGAGTCCTGCAGGCTGCCAAGTTTTCTTCATGAAGTATTGCGATCTTATTATTGCTGAACTAAACCCCACGCATAAAATTCCGTGCAAGGTGCTTTTTTCTACTTTCAGGTAAGTTTAGGAAGAAATTTTGAAGTTGACCTCATATTCTGAATCTTTTAAACATTTCAAAGACGCCATGGGATATGTTGGTATACAAGATACAGTTGGGCCCCAAGATGGAGATGTTATGGATGATTGAACCTTGTTCCTCTGTTGGAATGCACACATTCCATGTCACATTTTCCTTCAGACCTCAATGGGGATATATTCAACTGGTTCTCCTGAACATCAAAATTTGTGAAAATGTCCCAAAATAATAATTTTACTCAAATTCAAGCTACAGAAAATAACTGCGTAGAAAAAACACACAGAATATAATCTTTAGACATGAAAAGAACAAGCAAAAGTCTTGTTCTTCTGTGCACAGATGATTGAAAAAAAAAACTCCGAAAAAAAGAAGCCCACACTTTGCTTTTCTTGGAATCATGAGGAATATAAAGTTTAAAAATGCATTTGCAATATTTCTCATTTTAAAACGGTTAATTTGTTCAACACATAATTATTTTTTCATTTCACTTAAATCATTGTAAAATGTCCATATTTCGAGACATGGTCCTGATTCTGGTGCGATAATTTTTGTGTGCTTCAAGTTTCCCTAAGTCGAATCGTTCGTACGTCAGGGCCCCACTGTAGTATATTAAAATATTTTTTAAAGCTTTTCCGAAGAAAAATTTCACGATATTCGTCCGGATACGTATACTAACGTGCATTTTATGAGCGTGTCATGGTGTTTTCACTGAGCGAAATGAGCCCCCACGGCCCTAGGTTTCTGGGAAGCCCCATATTTCCCGGCGAGAAAGTAAAAAAATAAAAAAAGGTTAAACCCACAACCACGTCGAGGCGTTTTTCTCAATTTATCTCCGGGAAATAGGAAAAGCTGCTTTGATTCATTGTTCCTAATGCTGCAGTTACTATTTTCAAGCAGTGAAAAGTACAGGAAAACGAATTGCTGAGCACTATAACCGAGTGACCCCATTCCTGAACTGCACCAGCAATGCTTTGAGCGCCCAAGGGAGAAGGCTTTTTTCTCTCCTCTCCATAGCTAGACACATGCAGCAGGAAATTTACATCGCACCTGCTCCACAAATCGTCCGATTCATCATACTTGAGGCAAAAACTAATTCTGAGCGTTTTCCTTCCGTACCCTGGCGAAAGGATTTCGAGGTGTCTATGCGAACTCCTCATACATATACACTTGCGGGATTCAGACTTGAAGCTTTTTTTACACCAGTACCCCTAGAGAAATCTCAGCAAAAATTTCCTTTGTTCTACAATTTCCAAGAGTTTTCCAGAGATGCTGAGACGATTAACGATTTAAGCTCTGGAATGTGGTTCGCAGCGGAGGTTGTTACCTTATTCTTGGGAGAGGGGGAAAGACATGAAACCGGATCTTGCTGATGTTGCAATACATACAACAAAGGGTTCAGCCCCTCTGAATTTATGGCACCATTTCTGTTCACCCACGCATTATTTCTTTGTGGTATTGCGTTTTGGAAACCAAAGAGTCCAATGTCGAACAGTCCGTACCTGAGTAATGACTAGAATTCTTATCTTTTTGTAAGAGTAAATGAAGGAAGACCTCCTGTGTACAGCACATAAAGTGTGAAATGCAATCCCCACTTGGAAATTCAACACACGAGACAGGATTTCCTGTATTCATGTTTAAAAAATTTATAATCGTCAAAAATGTATTGGCCTCAGAACATGAATGAAAATTTTCCCATTGCTGTTTCAAAGTGTAGTTAAAATGTCATGTTCTGGACCCCAAGGAGAATACATCTAAACATGGTTATAACAAATACCACCAGGAGAAATTTTTCAGTAAAACAAAGTTTTTTTTCAAGTCCTGGCAGATATCCTATAGTGTACATGTTACAAAAATCTGGCTACAACAAAGTGTCTACTTCCAGGACAACAAACTATTCCATGGAGCATGAGGTGATTTTCCTAATGAAAAATCTCTAATGAAGGGCATCTGGCACAGTCTCAAATTTCCCATACAAAATGTAACCAACTTGTGCTTGAGTCATGAATGGAAGGTGATATCAAGAACAAAAACATGTCAAATCTTGCCTGAAAATCCTCTCTTTCAAAATTGTTCCTTAGTTAGGAAAGATTGGAGGGTTAGATGAGATTAGCCAAGCAGAACTCATGGTAAAAGCGGTTTTGGTAAAGGGGCTTACAAAATAACCCCACTGAGGCTAAAAAACTTAACTTTATAGGAATATGATATCTTACAATTCTTGCAGTAATTGCTTAGAGAAACTTTGAGTCCACAAAAAGTGCCAGAGTTTACCTGTTATTCAGAGTGAATATTTTTGATCAACACTTTTTTTTGAATATCAAAGGTTTTTAAATAATAAAAATATCAAAAATGGCGAAAAAGGAAGATGTTAAATATATGCACATTCAATTCTAAGAAAATCATCCCATTAGTCAATAATCTTGAAAATCTTGTCATACAATTTTTTTAAACAAACTTTTCTGAAGTCCCCACGAGTTAAAAAAAAACATTTTACTATAATAAAATCAAAGTGAACTGCATTCTAAAAGTTTGCTGGGTATATATAGGCTTATGCTTATGCATGTGCGCCAGCCTGGGCCACGCTCAGTTTTTGAAAGTCCCAAGCTCGCAAAAAAAAAGCACGGCTGCGGTAAACAAAAAAACCATATAATTTTTTTCAGTTTTATGTTCGTTACATGGTGGCATTCGTGGAAAACAGAATTCAATAATTCTATGAACAAATTTTTCGGATAAGTGACATTCCTCAAGTTAGGAGCGGTAAACAAAAAAACCATATAATTTTTTTCAGTTTTATGTTCGTTACATGGTGGCATTCGTGGAAAACAGAATTCAATAATTCTATGAACAAATTTTTCGGATAAGTGACATTCCTCAAGTTAGGACCGGAGAATATTTCTTCATGCCCCAGCTAGGAAGGAATTGGACGGTTCCATGGGATTACTTGGCTTCAAATGTACTGTAGTTTAATTCCAATTGAAAGATTATCTTTTCTTTGACTGGCAACAAAAATCTTAACTTTCAGTTAATTTTCAATGCAACTCACATTTCAATTTTGAATTTTGCTAATCTTTCATGGAACCGGATACTGTATTTCAATCGCAGTGTTTTCCCCAGCGAAATTCTGATCATCAGAAGAAGTTTCTTTGGTACCCCATTACAGCATCAAATAAAACATCAATATATGCCTGAACACTGAAGTGAGAAGCATCAAAAATTGAAAGATGTCACTGTGGTCTCAACATTTTTCAGGGTTGTATTTTTTCAACACAACCTTCAATTATGTTAATGAATGAAATATCCTCCTTAACGAATAATTTTCAGTTTTAAAAATCAGTGCTTTTCAATTCAGCGAATTCATTTGACACAAAAGACGAATTTCAACAAAATTGATAAGTATAGCCGGTCGAAGAATACATTAAATTGCTTTCAGGAAAGTAAACCCTGTACCACTTCGAACGTTACGAAAGGTGCATCTAAAAAACTGCCGAATGCAGTTCTATGGATTCCAGTGCGTAACTCTATACCAGAGCAAGTTAAATCTATCCATTTCTGAGTAAATAATGAGAAAAATTTTTTTTTCTTACCCACAAAATTAAAGACCAGTATGATGCAGTTTTACTCACGGAATTATCTCTGAATTGCTTCCTGGTCTTCAACTTAAAATGGCTGGGACTTTAGTCCCAATCTTTCATTGTAAGAACTTGAGTTCCTTTCAGAAAAAATAATCACAAATAACAACGGACTGATACAGAAAATTCAACATCACTTCAAAAATGCTTGATACATTGCCTGCTGCATCATAATGCTTACCCTCAAGCAAGCGATACTGTAAT